AAGCGACTTACATTGGGAGTAAACATCAAGCAGTTTGGTACAAAGTGGATTGATCAGAAGACATTCACATAGAACACTTTCAAGCTAGTACAGAAAATGAATTCAAACCATTGCTTCAGAGGGATTTTATTTTATTTTTTTTTAAAGTTAGTAAGTGCTCTCGAAAGAGTAGAGTTTTTAGCTGCTTTTTGAAGGTGTAAAGAGATTCAGCTTTCCGAAGTGGGACGGCAATGGAATTTCACCAGCCAGGAACTGTGAAGGAGAAAGTTATGGTAACAGGTGGAAGTTAGGTGTGATTTTTTTTTACCTAATATCTGATTTAGCATCATTCATATAAATAAATATTAAAGAGAATGTAAATTCTGATGCATTTTTGTCAAAAAGATTTATATAATTGTATAGTGTAAATGTTTATAGGATCATTTCAGTGCATTTAAAGGGCACCACACACACCAAGCCAAATGTATTTGCTCTTCTGTCATGTACAACTATCATGTAAGATCAAATGAGAATTTTTGAGGTGAAACTTCAAAGTCACTCAAGATTTACAAAAGAACAAACTGTGGGACCTTTAAAATAAACCATGCCAATTGGATTGCTGGATGACAGATAAAACGAATCAGAGCCAACATAATTCTTGCCCTTGATCATATTCCTCGTTTTTCCTTGCACCACAATCGTCCATGCAATTCTGTATCATGCGTATGAGAGAAATGCCACGGTTGGAGGCACACACGAAAGATGGAGTCTGTCATTAAATGGAGTGGAAGTATTACCAGTAAGTTAGTCCAGGTCTATAAAAGACAGGCTCCACATTCGGAGTGTTTCTCTGCCTCGGCTGTCAGTTTTCTTCTTCACTGGCCATGAATCTAAAGGGGGAAAATTGGAATGAATGCCCTCTCCCATTTTCAAATCCCAAGGCTTCTTCTGCTCTTGCAAACCTTTTATCTGCACCATGCACCCTTATTTGATTCCCAAAGGCATGGTGGAGAGAAAGGGAGGACTTTTTACTCCTTGGATTTATTAAGAAGTGCTCACTGGTTTTATTGCAAAACATCACAAACTCAAAGCGGGAGGAATCACACAGAATGTTCTCATTTCTCAGAGTATACAAGATTCCTGTGCTATATTTGGCCATTTTCGAAGCAAGGCGATGAATGGTGTTAGAAACTAACTCCATGAGAGCTTCTTAAATGAAAGATGATTGCTGGCTAAAAATAAACCTTGAGTAAAATACAATATTTGTTGTGGTCTGCTTCAAATTGGTGAGATTACACTAGAACGGTTATACTAGATGTTCTGTGGGTTTTACCAAGTTTTCCAGGATATCAATCATCTGGTTCATGAGCATGTGTGGCGGGTATGCAAGTATGGCTGTCAGAGTAGGACCCTGGCCCCACTCCAAAAAAAAATGGTGAAGGGGAGGAAGGTGGAAGTAATGAAGATGATTTGGACTCAGTCCAAGAGGAGAAGGATTGGACCAGTATATGAGGATGTGGGTTAGTTGGATAATCGTCAAGTTCGGTTTACCTCCTCCTGAAAAATGTTAGACAAGCTACCTTTAAGACCACTACAAAATTTAAATTTTTTTTAAATAAAATTAAGCTTTAAAAACTAGCCTCTTATTAAACCTATTTCACATCTGGACTACAACATTTTTTAAATAAGTTGTAAAATAAAGAGATCATTAGTAGAATTTGTGTTTGGCAGAACATACCAGCAAACACACATTAATTGTGGAAGTAGTCATAAATAGGCAAACTTCAACAGTTCAGTACAAAAAAAAAACACGATCCAGAGGAAAGCAACGCTATAATCTAGAAAAGTGGCCAGAAACAGAACCAATAGTCACCAAAACAAATCAATGTTTGATAGAACTTTTTTTATGGAGAAGGTTTAATGTGAAAGGTTTATAGGTGAAGTAATAAACACCTAGTGAAGAAAACTGGGATCAGCTGTGATCCATTATTTTGAGATATTAAAGCAGAATTATCTAATATGAAAGTGGAATTAGATAAACTTAAGAAAAAAAAACAATATTTTCTGTGTAGATGACCAATAAATGAAAGAGCTATTTATATAAGTACAGTAAGTTTTTAATTTAAAGACGTGACCCACCTATTGGTTTATTTACATTTCAAGTGTAATATGTAGGTTTCGAAAACGTTGTGATATTTTTTTGGGTTCAAACAAAAGTCATGACACATGATTTTCAAGGTAATAATAATTTAAATGTGAGTCTTTCAGTTTCATTTACAGACCCATAACCATACCATCTAGTAGTAAAAAGGGATCACCCTTGGAAGTATAAGACCTGTGATATGGCTTGTGTTTTTCAAATTTCTGTCAAAAAAAGCACAATGGCACAAAAAGTGCTTGGTGCAGTGTATACCGTCTAGTGGATAAATCTATCACATTCTTTTGACCTTGCCTTAGCTTTTTGAGGGATTTATAAATGTTACATTTGTCTCAACACTTTAAAATATAAAAACTGTTCGTTCCCAATTTTTTTAAATGTAATACTCTGAATTATATTTTTTGAACAATTTCAGATTTGCTGGATTTGTACTAAAACATTCTATCACATAAAAAACTGTTGCCACAAAAAATAAAATAAAAAGGGAATCTATTAGAGCAAATTGAAAAGTACCAAAAACTCCCTTTAACTTCTCAAGGTTAAAAAATCAACAATTTAAATAACAATACATCTCAAAGCAAGACAAGGCAAAGAGCTAAAAATGGGCTTGGGAGATTTGAGCAAATTAATAAACCAAAAAACTCAAATTTACCAAAAAAGTTTCCAATGTTTGCCACCAGTACCCTTTGTGGTGGAGGAAAACCCCTAATAATCCTAGAAATACAAGAGGAAACCTTTAAAATGCACTTTCGAGTTCAAATGAAGTCTTACAGGTTTCAAACATTGTGAGAGAATACATTTATTTCTTTATTTATTTGATTGACTCTCCTATAGAAAACCTGTGGAAACCTTTTTATCGAGTACTGAAGGAATGTGACAGGCACCTCACTGGCATGCCAAGTTTGTCATTGCAAGCAGCTTCTGTTCTGTCTACACCCAAATATTAACCTTGACACACTGTGTTTTCATCAGCTAATAGCTGACAGCTCTTTGATGTGTGCGCAGGATGTAACTAAGAGGATGTCTCTCCCTATGGATATTCGTCTCCCACCAGAGTTTCTCAAGAAGTTACAGATGGAGAGTCCGACGCCATGCAAACCACTCAGTCGGATGTCGAGAAGAGCCTCGTTGGTGAGCGGTCACATAACCATTAATCTATACACGCAATATACAATGTCACATTCACATAAAGCCAGAAACTGAAAATAGTAAGTCAACTTTATGGACTGTTTAATGCACCAACTTGAATAAACAATCTGTCTTTCCTTTACAGTCGGACATTGGCTTTGGGAAACTGGAAACCTACGTAAAGTTGGGAAAACTAGGAGAGGTAAGGTATTTGCTCTTCCCTGGGTGAATGCAAAAAAAGGTTCTGCTGTAGGCAAATATTAAGAACATCAAACATCAGACTGAATTGAATTGAGGAGTTGAATGTGTTCATTACGAGGTTCCCTCAAGGCAATTACTGTGAATATGTGTCGTGTTGAAAGGGAGTTTTGATTTAATGGCTTTTTGCCACGAAAAGACATCAGATTGTAAAATGCTCAAAGCTGTACCACTACCAGCAGTCAATTTTCCATTAGGTGCAACAAAGCATGCACATTGCAAAGTGTGAGAAATAATGTACAACATACAACCCTGGGGAACATCAGAAGTAATCTTTGAAAGGGAGGTAAATAAAGAAAGATACTGGACATGGAAGCTAAAAGTTGATTACAATCAAGAACGAATGAAATTAGGTTATTTAAACTTTTTTTTGTTTTGAAGCCCATGAAAATTTCAAGAAACAAAAGTCACTGTGCAGTGAATGTGATTCATTTCATATTCTTTTTAAAATCATAGTGAGAACCATCAATATTCATTCAGCAGTTTTCTCAAGAACACTGTATAATACATGACTGCTACGCATAAAATCTGCATTTTGTAAAGATGTTAAAAAATAACAAGTAGACAAATAGGTCAAGAAACTGAACCAATTTGCATTTAAATAGTAATATATTTGAATTGACTATAATTAATCCATGTTTGCAGACAATTATGTTTAATAAATCTAAAAACATCAAAAACATTTGTGTAATATGGATGATTTTCACCAAAAAGATGTGCTTCAAGTCAAAAATTATGTTTCAATTAAATTATGTGTTGGCAAATTAGCCAAACAAAGTAGCCCACTTACAGTATGTCAAACAGCTTAGACACTTCAGGAACAAAGACTGAAGAAGACTAAAGTCTGATTTTTTGGCCACAACCATAAACGTTACATTTAGAGAGTAGACAACAATCCCCATTGTGAAACATGGAGGTGGGTCACTGATGTTCTGGGGATGTGTGAGCTCCAAATGAATACTGGAAACATGGTCAAAATTAATGGGAAGATGAATGCAGCATATTATCAAAGAATACTGGAGGAAAATGTGCACTTATCAACCTGGAAACTGAGCATGGGACGTTAATGGAAATTCCAATATGACAGCGATCCAAAACTATCCAAAACACAAGGCTAAGTCCACTTGACATTGGTTAAACCAGAACAAAGTAAAGGTTCTGGTGGGACCATCTCAGTCTCTTTACCTCACTATCATTGAACCACTCTGTGAACTCCACTGTGCAATCCATGCAAGATAGACCAAGAATTTCAAAGAGCTTTTCCAAGAGAAGATAAAGAAGCTCATCGACAACTACCCCATGAGCCTTCAAGCTGGCATTGAAGTTAAAAAGGCATTGAAGTAAACTTTTGATCAGCGTCATTTGGAAAGATTCTGCTATTTTGATTTAAAAAGAGCTGTTTGACAATTAATGGCTTCACCCAAGCACTAATCATGAGTGGAAAAAAGTTTTTGTGTTTTCATATTTTCTGAAAATCTTTCCTGTGGCTCAGTTGGTAGAGCATTGCGCTAACAACACACAGTTCATTGGTTCTAATCCCTGGGAAAAAAAATGTGTTTATCTTTGGATAAAAGCGTCTGCCAAATGCATAAAATGTAAAAAAAAAAAAAAAATTAATGAAAAATGGCCAAGAAATCTTTGTATCACTGTACTAAACAACCTGAAATTAAAAAGCTTTACAAACCTAAAATTTTAAACTGTCTTGAAAATAAAATATACATAAAAAGTTTTCAAACATAAAGCTACGAATGTTTTTATAGTGTGTACTAAAATGCACCCACTAGAGGGCAGCGCTAATGTTTGTGCACGCAGAGCATGTTCATTGAAGAAGACACCTCTTGAACACATTTCTCATTTCAAATGGGAGTAAATATAACTCTTATAGAGTGAATCAGAACTTGATCCATTTGGACAGAGTGTAAGCAGATAGAAAATGCTTGTTTAGTTTCTCAGACTTGTGCACCTTAGCTCTTAGACAATTCATCTCCGTAACTCCACACTATGCATTATGACATTTATCACAAAATAGTGTTACACTCCTGCTAAATGTACAGCAATTTCTACCATATTTCTAGTTTATTGTAGCAAACCAATGACTGTAAAAATATGGATGATGTGACACCCCTCTCTGTTATTGGCCAATTTAAGGCACGATATGCGCAGGACTTTGTGCTGAAGATGGCACCGCTATGGTTTCAGAGCTCTGCCTCGACCCCTCGCATCCTGTCATATACAACTTATTTTGTAAATATGAACCAAAATATGACTTCTCTGACTTTTACTGTTGGCAGTGTAAATGATATTTCTCACCAATATGATAACAGATGTCAATCATATCCGTCAACCCCCCGCCTATTTATTTTTGTTTTGTTTTATGAGGAAAACTGAGCCATCTTAAAATAATAAAAATGATTGAACTTTGTTGAACTTTGTAGAACTTTCGAAAATCATCAAACCGTCATTTCTGAGGACATCATTTTTAAAGTTGCTAGTTTCCATAGACGTGTATTGGGCAGAAATCATTCTGCGGCCAGCCATGTGGAGCGATCGCTGTGGTTTGTCTTCACTCTACAGGTCATGTGAGACACATTTGTAGCAAACTTGATAGCTTGTAAAATGGTCAAACTGTGTAAAACTAAATGCCATAGATTTCAGTTGAAGGGCTTGAAACTAGTCGTCGTCATCCTGGTAGAAAATCACTACCAGTTAATCATAATAAGATGCATAGACGACAAATAACAGGGTGGCTTAATATAAAGTAAGCCAAGTAAAAAAGCAATTCTCCTTGATAACAGGTCAAAACTAGCAAAATGAATAAAACGCTGCTTGTATGAGGCTTTTAAAATGGTTGTCAATGGGATTCTGTTCGCTTTAGGTCACTGCCTCAAGTCGTTGAATTCAGTTTCAGTTGTTTTCAATTATGCATCTGAAGTAGGGGGCTGCCGACTGATACACACTATTATATACACCATATGAAGCCTGGTTTGGTTCACCATCGATATCTCGTTTTCATTATTCCTGTGTGCTTAATTGTTTCTCTCCTTGCATTTTGTCCTCCTCTTGATTATGAAATAAAACAAATTTTAGATGAAGTTCCCCTAATGTGTCTCATGTTGCTGTCTGCAAACTGTACAGTCCTCCAAAGAGTTTTAAAGCTTTCATACCTTCAGCACCACTCCAGTTTCCCAAAAGACTGACACGTTTCCTCTTCCTGTCTGTCACCCAGGGAACATACGCAACTGTTTTCAAGGGTCGCAGCAAACTGACAGAAAACCTAGTGGCATTGAAAGAGATTCGGCTGGAGCATGAAGAGGGTGCACCATGCACGGCCATTCGGGAAGGTGACGTGCCCTTCTCTCTCACACAATTTCAAACTCTCTGGTGGTTGAAAACTCAGATAGTCAAGAAGATTACACAATCTAAACCAGAGAGCCACAGGCATCTTCTCTCAGTCTGAATCACTCCAGTAAATGAGACGAGGACGTGAGTGGAGTATCCAATGAAGCGGGCGCCTGTGAAGCAACACTGCCCTCCAGTGCCTGAAGGACACACTTGATCCAAAATGTTCTTTTCTCCTTCCAATTATTACACAATGCTTCATACTTTTATTAAACACAAATATGCTGGCTTCATTTTTTCTCTGAATCTAGAACCTTTCAACGTTCTTCAAAACCAAATGTCAATGAAAAGGTTTTGCATTTTCTATTGTGATGGCAGTCTATTCATGAATTCAACGTCTATTCCAGTTTCAACCAGCCGTGGGAGTTTGCTGGAACTTATCCCAGCTTTAATTGCGGAAAAACAAGGCTACAAGGCAGATAACCAATCTGCCGCAGGGCCATAAGCCGTCACTGACTACACTCACACTAACTCTTGTGAGCAATTTAAAGCCATTAGTTAACATGAGACTGGTGTTTTCGGGTAGTGGGAGGAAAATGAAGTGCCTGGATACAAGCTGAGAGACTGTGCAAACTCAAATGAGTCAGACTCGTGCTTGAGCCTTGAACCAAGGGCCTTTTCATTGAGAGGCTGAAGTAGCCGAATACCACCATGAGCCTCGATTTGAAATATGCTAGAGGAACACTGCCCCATGAGATGATGTAAGCCACCATGATGCATTGCAGTGCAAAGCATGTCACTAAGGGTCAGGGTTGGGCAATATTCAAGATGGCCTCTGGGACTTGACCTTTGCTTCATTGCTGAGATTACTGGCCTTTTTCGACTCCAGAGAAATGCAAGAGACATCAGCAAAAGATTGATTCTTTCACCTTTTGAGACTTTTTCTAAATAAATAACTAATCTGTAAATTTCTTTTGTGGTAATAGCTTGATTACACATAAATTGAATTGGAATCTCAACATCATAACATATATTAAAAATATAGAAATATACATAGAGCCTCGAACGGATAACCTTGTAACTGGAAGGCCACAGTGCTGCCCACTGCTCCACAGTGCTGGAAGCAGACAATGTTAATTAACTATATTTTATATATATATTCAATTTAAAGAAAGCATTAACAACTTTTTTGTTCTATTAACCCTTAAAAGTTCGGGACCTTTTGGAGTGTTATTTACTACTTTGCAATTTGCTCTAAGAAATTACCTTTAAAATAATACCCCCCCCCCCCCCCAACCTCCCCCAAAGACAAGGTTTTTACAAAGACAAGGTAAAAACAATGTGAAAATTGTATTAGATTTGGGGTGTGTAAAATGAAACTGAAAGATGATTGCGCTTTTTCTCACATTTTTATTTGGATTACCTTTCAAATTATGTGTCATAACTCGTGTAATGTTCGATTAAAACACAAAATGTAAAAACTATTAACTTTTTTAAAACCTAGACATTATATTTTAAATCACAATGAAACAATAGATGGATCGAGTCATTCCTACTTGACGCATCAATGGGTTCTAAGGGTTCATTTGAGTTGTACTAATAGGGATTCATCTGACAGATGAAAAACACAAAAAAGGCTGCTTTCAGTCATCTTTAACTTTAACTGTTCTCTATTCTGACCAAACAAGCTTTTATTGTAATGTTACCCATGTTTAGCTGACACAGTACACAACAGAGTCCTCTCACACAACACAGAGATTAAGGTAATCGTCCTTGCTTCAGAAAGTGCATAGTCTCCAACACACACACACACAGTACATGACAAATACACAAAACAAACAGTGTCAACCTGAAAACATACTGTATAATGTGTGTGTTACATTACAATGTGCAAAATAAAGAGAAGCAGAATAGCAGCAATGGTGGGCAAAAGAGAATAAATATATTTTATCTTCTTAATGAGAAAGAGTAGGGATGGAGACAATTTGGTGCTGGTGGTGTGCATGAGTTTTATGTTTTAGAATGTTGTTTTGTGTACCTTGTTGTTGTGGTGTGGCTCTTTATGAACAAACTGATTTTATTTGATTTGATATGCATTGTTCTAAAGAGGACTACTAAAGAAAAATATCTTATCTGTAATAAGAGTCAATAAGAGACTAAACGACCACCAGCATTTTAGTGTTTCTTATAGACAGTTTTCCTTAACCCTTGCAACTCCAGCACACACCGGTGCATTTGCCAGTCACAGTATCTGTTTTGAATAAAGTAGGAATGACGCAAACCAGCTATAGTTTCATTTTTATTTCGAACCCAATTTGAAAATTGTATCAAAAAAACATGCAAACCTCTCCCAAACACTGTTCCGAGTACTTTTTGTGCAACTGTGTTTGTTTGTTCCATAGCTTTGAAACACATGCCATAGCTCAGGTATTGAAGTTCCAAGAGTTATCCCTTCTTTTCACCACTAGATGCCACTGATGGCACCAATTTGGGGTCTGTAAAATTAAACTGAAAGACGATCACGCATTTTCTCACATTTTAATTATTTTGTAAATTATGCCTCATAACTCTTGTAAAAATGATTTAAAACAAAAATATATCAAAACTAATTACCTTTTCGAAACCTAACATTATATTTGAATCGAAATTAAACTATAATAGGTCGCAGCATTCTTACTTAATTGAAAAAGGCTGCTGTGACTGGCAAAACCATCATTGCATGCAGAATCTTCTAAGGGTTAAAGGTAATTTCTCAAAAAGGCCTTAGACTTCTGAGGGTAGAAGTCAGTTTACCGGAGCTGATAAACTTTTTATTGTTCCATCAGTTAATGTTACAAGTGTTTGGTTTCATGGTTTACAAGCTCTTAAAAACATACGCCTTTTTTTACATTTGAAAATGGAATGTTGATGTATACGAAAATTCATTCGTTTACTTGACAATTAATCAGTTCCTTCATTCCAACGCCATCTTTACCCTCTTTACATTCCTTGTGCTCACAAGACAGACAAGCAGCATGGGAAGGTCCCAGTTCATAGAAATATAATGTATTATTGATTACTAACTTCTGTCTAAAATTCACTTTGCTTTGCTTTCAATTTTAATTGACAATTTAATCAAGAGTTTACTAAAATGACTTTCAGGATTTGGATTAGAAAATGAAAAGCTGAGATTACATCAGCTGTTAAACTCATTGTATTGTTGATGTGTT